GGATTTTCTTAATCCGGATTAGTATTCAGTAAACGGCGCGATATTGACCATTAGCACAAGAGCACCAAGCACAACTATGTAATTTATTTATTATTATGCGCAGTAAACGAATTACATAGTATCAAAATCGGAATTTGATTTACATTAATCTGCGCTTTATCAACAAGGAAAAAAGCTTATCAAATTGTTTCGTTATTTTAACAGTAAAGTAATGTCTTGACAGAGGCCTCATGTGCCAGCTGCCGCGAAGAGGATAAGTATCTAGGTAGAATGCCTTAAAAGATATGTAATAAGATGATGAGAAACTGTTGCCATTGTGTGGGAAAAATCCCTTTCTTCCTATATAGCTTGTTCTAGTTAAATAAATTAAGAACTTCATCGAAGAAAAATCAAGATATCGCTGATTTTAAGAACGGTAAAATTTCCTTGTTCGAACCTGGGCAATAAAAGGTGATTATAAAATATAAAAGAAAGGATCAAACACAATAAATTAGCACTTCAATCATCTTCTTTTACAAACTGCATTTTTAATTATTATTATTTTTTTCTAACGGCAGGTACGGAGTTTTTGTTCTCTACTTCGGAAGATGCCGGAAGTGTTGTTCATTTAACATTATCCAGTGGGTACAAGTGAACCAAAGTGACGGAGGCGAGCAACATTACCCACACCACACTGCCACGGATACCCGTTCATAGGGTGGTCCACATTCACACATCACACACAACAGAGAACAACACACAGAGAGAAACATCCATGCCCAGAGCGGGATTCGAACCCGCGCCCATGGACTTCACAGTCAGACACGCTAATCGCTCGGTCACCTGGCCGGCTTTTTAATCATTATTTATGGATGTAAACACGATGCATATTATAAATTAAAAAGAAACAATAACGGTAATAATTTCAATTATTTGAAACATTTTTGTTCGTTTTTCAGCTAATTATTAAACCACAAAATTACTTACAGCTTTTAAGTATCGATAGATAATATTTCAATTTTAAACTAAACTCCCTAGGTAATTGAACAATATAGTCATAAGAGTGTTTTCAGTTAAATTAGCCAATATTTTTATAACGAGATATTGTCATCAATTTATTTCGCAATTTACTTTACACTAACCTTAATTAAACAATGTTATAGGACAGTTTACGTCATGTGCGCGTACTTCTGTCTAAATGAAGAAGCTTAGAAATATGCAAATGCAGAGCAAATATATTAATTATTTTATATAAATAAATATGATTTCTATCATCGCTAAGAATTATCCATTGTGATTTATTAGTTTTGTTGCAAGAGTTTTAAATATCTTACAAAATATCTGAAACTCAATGTATAAGAATGTAAAAAAAAAAGAGTTATTTTGAGCTAAAAAAGCTACAAAATATTTTTTTTTCAAACTTAATAGAATTATATTATATTTTTAAAAGAATTCATAGATTCTGATTTCAAGCATAATTACAAAATTTTTAAACGAAAAATTATTTATAATTTTATACTATAGTAAAAAATAACTTGTTGCTATCTCCATAAAAAAGTATATTTAAGCCTCATTAGCATTGCATTCCATAGCCGGTGTTGCATAAATTAGCGCTCATTTTTACAAAAAAACAAGTAAGTATAAAAATTTAACTTCCATTTTATATAAATTAATGGACTTAATAAATGAGTGAAAACTATTATAAATTGTTTTGTTTCTCGTAACTTTAATTTTCAGTATTAAACAAGGAATAAATAACGCAAAAGTGTCGCGAAAAGAAAAGAAAAATTAACGAAAGCGGACTAAAAAAAGTTAAAAGAGCTTAAGCCCTAATGGAAATAAATTTTTATCGGATTTTCAATTAAGCATTTTTTTTTCTATATACAAAGAATACGGCTTTTGTTCCAACTTCTTTACAAAATAAATTTTCTTTAATCGTTGAAAAATGGATAAGAGCAACTTTATTTTTTTAAGCTTTCGCGTAGTTTATAAATTAAAATTAAATAAATTCTCTAAATTAAGTAAAGATAACAGAAAATTTGCTGTATTGTTTTGTTCATTTTTGTAAAATTTAACAATAGCTTTTGTGCGGAATAAAACTTAGAAAAACTAAATGCAATGCACTTTTAATAAGAATTAAGAGTTCTTTAAAAAAATAAATTATTGTATCCGTTCTATAAGAGTCTAAAAATTTGTCACGATAAGTTTCCTGAATCTGATGAATAAATTAATTCACTGAAAATTTTATATGAAAAGAATTGAAAGAAGACTAGCAAAAATACATTATTTCTAATCTAACTTGTTTTAAAATAAAGCATACTATTATGATAGTTAATTTAAACTTTCAAGAATTTTTTTTAGTGAAATGTGCTAATAGTTTCCAAATAAGCATAAAAACTATTTGGTAAATAAGTAAGATAAATGTCAACTAAAATGTTAAAGTTTAAAACAATGAAAACGAATTTAATTTTAAAAAATTAATCATAAATCGATCGATAGTCATATTTCTGTATAATGCGTAATATATGTTTCCTAATTAACATTGGAAACTCTTTGTTAAGTAAAAAAGGTAAGAGTTAACAAAAATGTTAAAGTTTAAGTAATAAATATATATATAACCCTAGTATAATGGAGGAGACGCTTTCAGTTTTTGGCATTTTTTTTAAATTTCTAAAGAAATGCTTAGGGTATTATTTCATAACTTCAGATTAATTTGTAACCATTTATTCATGCAATTTTCAATATTTAGCACTAAAGTTTAAAACTTTCAGAGGTTTAAGAGGCCAACAATAAATTACGAAAGAAAACAAGTATTTTTGAACACCCTATACTGGGAAATCAAGAAATAAGCCTGTAACTTATACCGATTATTTTGGCTGTTTTTTGCAAAAAACTACATGAAATTTCATAAGCCTAGCTTAGATATTTGTGGAGATATAGTCATGTGTATAAAAAAAGAAATTTTTTGTGTTACGTTCTTTTTCTATAACTTTAAAAATATTCAATAACATTAAACAAATTTTTGGAAAAATTAAAAAATAATATCGAAATTGATGTTTTAAAATTTGGAAAATGAAGCGCTAAAAATTGCGCAAGATATGGTTATTTAAAGCAGTTCCTTTATACAGTGCATACTCTGAAAAAAATTAAAAAAATATTTTTTATAACTTTTTAGTGTTTCGAATTGTCTGAATAACTTAAAAACTTAAAGAGTCTCAAATAATTTTCTAAGTAGTTTTTGAACTACTTAGAATTTTCAAGCGTTTCAAGTACAGGCTCAAAATGATATGGGGTTTTCTCTAAATTTCATTTTGTGCCATTAGGCATTATTTATTAAAAATTACATGGGCCTTGTGGAGGATCATCTCCATAAAAGAATGTTTTTTTTTTCATATACCATAACAGTTTAGTGTCTGGACAATTATTGTAAGATATCATTTGTTATTAAATTATATCATACATACAAAATGATATGTGTGGAAAACCCATTATTATTTTGTGCTCTTTAACTTAAATGGCCTCTTGTTTTTTTTCTACTTTTTTTATAAGTTGCGAAATACGATTCACTGCAAAATTATAAAAAAATGAACTTTTTCCGCTCTTGTGTAGTATTTCTTAAACTAGTCATATCTTGTACAGTTTTTAACTCAGTGCAAAACAATATTTCTTCATTTTTCATGATACATTTGCTAGAATAGTAATTATTTTTTTATTATAAATCTGTAGTTATGTCTAGAGTTCCTCGAGCTCTACCGATTTAGAAGAAATTTCTCTAAGATGGCATTATTAACGAAATGACTTTAAGATCAAGACATGTGGTTTTGTAGAGAGACTATGGCATATTTTTTAAACTTGTTATAAAATAAAGTTTTCCGATTACAATAAACAAAATTTCCTGCACTACGATACTGATACCATTCCGTTCTCTAAGACTACATATCAAGTACATAACAGAAAATATTATAAATTCCAAATTCAAGATAGGATAAAATAGAACCCCTGGATCAGTCATCTCACAGTTCAGTCTTCTGACGAGATATGTCTCCCTGCCAGAGCATCTGCATAGCATTGTAATATTTCAGAACTCAGACTAATTTGTACCCTCTTTCTAATTTGGCAGACCTAATTAATCGAGAACACCTTAGTATGTCTCCGAAACAACGCGCGACGCGCTAGACAATTTGACATCTCAACAATGAATTTTGATCGTTACTTTTAAACTTTTATTTATTATTCTATTTATTGCCTTGCTAATTGGAAATAAAAATAAAAATCTGGAGTCTTTAAAAGCGTAAAAGTATGCAAAACTTGTTTTTTTTTATTTGATTTCATTTGTTTTAATTTTAACGGATTTTACCAAAATGGCGATATTTTTTATGAAAAAAGTTTCATAAATTTCTTTTTCCAAATTTTTAGAATATTTGTCCGTTTTAAGGAGCAGCCATCCAATTCTTCTCAAGAAGATAGTTTGAGGAGTGTTGACTCAGGGGATAGAGAGCTCACCTCCCAGTGAGAGGACCCAGGTTTTAATACCAACAGTGCCAGCTCGTAGTGATGACGTAAAATATCTTAAGTGGTAAACGGATCATAGGTTGAAATCCCCTTATCGTCGGGCTAACGTTGAAAAGTTTCCATGATTTTTCGTTCCATATAACACAAATGAGGTTCAATTCCATCAAAAAAGTTCTCCACGAAGGTTAGTTTGTTCCATTACTTGATCCAAAAGTTCTCTTTTCTTTTCTGTTGAGTTCAAAATTAGGAAGCTACGGAGTTGCAAGTCGTAAACTGGGAATTGGTTCCACTGTTCAAAGCCGGTTATAAAAAAAATGTGTATAATACAATGACATGCGTATAATACATTGAAATCCCCTTGTCGTCGGTCTTACGTTGAAAGGTTTCCGTGATTTTTCTTTCCATATAACACAATTGAGGTTCAGTTCAAAGCCGGTTTTAAGAAAAATGTGCAGGCCAAATGCAGTCCAAAAAAAAGTTAAGGGTAAAAGAACTAAAGTAATACTTACTCTTTCAATCCGTAGTACTTTCGCACTGTCTGTTGTTAATATTTCCAAAAAGTTATACCGCGTGTGTGTTGGTAGTTGATTTCGTCTTCCAAATATTCCGAGTCGGGCACCCATAGGCAAAGTATAATTGAAACGCACTAAAGACGGACTTTTTTGCCTCATCTGGACGATCCAGTGACTGTAAGGAGCGATCTGAAATTCTGACTGTCTGCCTATAACTATTTCTGAAAAGGATAGGGTGGAGGGGGAGAGTGAAGTTGCGCTGTTGCTACTCGATTTGGACGATGATGATGAAGAAGACTCTGTGGCTGCAAGAGAAATAAACAAATTTAAGCATGGAAAGTAAAGAACAGAATGCAGAAAGTATAGACGAACACGAATAATTAATGTGCTTTTAATGCGTGATTAATATGCAAATTTAGTTATACGTTACACTAAATTGAGTATTAGATGAGATTTAATTTATACGAATACATACCTTTTTTTGATGATTCTACTATAAGATCAACATCTTCTACTAAAGGACAGGCATGATTGGCGTCTTGTTGCCAATTCGGTGAGAATAAAACTGAAATGCATACAAAAAATATAACTAATATATTGTTAATACATAAGTTTATACATATTTAGTAATTTAATAAAATTTCTCTTAGCCAGTCTAACGGAGCATAAGATTATACCATATAAGAAGGACTAGAAGGAGAAAATATTTAGTTGAAGATAATTGTTTTTGGAAAGCAAATAAAAAAAATAGAATGTAGAATAATTACATTTTCGCTATGTCGACAATGTTTAAAGATAATTACACTATTTACTTTTCCGAATAAAAATTACAAAGCTGTAATTTTTTTTCGTTTTTTTAAGAATAAAAAGTGGGAGGTTTTTTTATTGAAAATGAATCCATTTTTTCTTTAAAATTAATAATTTTGAAGAGAATAAACTTTTTATCCTTTAATAGGTTTAAATGTATTTGAATAAATGCAGCCTTTTTATTAGTTTTGTCTCCTTTTATTTCCTTAATATCGTAAAGACTATTCATAAATTATTTACTTTATAGTATAAATGTTTCGTAGTCAACTTAACGTGCAACTTAACTTAATATTTAAATTACTTTTATGACGTTTAGATTTCAATTAATTATATTACTTTTGTTTCTTCAAATTCACGACTGGCAAGTCTTAAATGCCGGAATAATAGATCTTAAATAATCTTAACAATCCTAAATGATCTTAAATAATAGATAAAAATAGGTGCCTAATTTTGAATGATTAAACATATCGACTGTCATTTCCAATTTGTTTATTTTTTAAGAGAAAAATGTTTATAATTAAGTATTTTATAGCCACATCAGTTTCAAGAGATTAAAACTATTCATGATTTTTTGATGCACAGATAACAATTGAGTTTACTCCCAAACGTCATTAAAATATAACAATTGAAGTTTTAACTTAATACGAAAAACCCATCTGCGCAAACTCTTAGCAAGGAAAATATCAGAAGATCTGATTAAAATGTGGTATAAAAATAACACGGCAATATTTTTTTAATACAGATACGAAACCAATTGGCACATTTTCTGCGAACGCGTCAGAAGTTTCCACCAACTTACGTTTTGAATAAAATCAACAAAATTAACCTTTAAACCGTTGGAATTTAATATAACAATATAACACAAGAATAAAAGCAACATTTAATTAGTTTCGTCTTCTTTTCTTTCCTTCTGAACCAGATAGATTATTTATATTTTTCTCTTTTTATTCATGCTAATTTTGAACTATAAAAATCTGCTTTAAATTTTTTCTTTTTCGAATTACTGTCATGTTTGGCAATTTTCTACAGGTTTGATGAGTCATTGTCTACAAGTGTGGAGTTCAAATACAGTTTCACACTTCTAACTGTTTCTCTAATGCATATGAGCCAACAAAACACCATCCCCCACTTACATTGTGATTAATGCTTGATTGCTTAGATTTTGTAAGTTCAGCATAAATTTCGGCATTTGACGAAATATCGGCAATTTATTAAATACACTGGGTAACAAACTTTGTTTTCTGGTACATAATATTTTTAACGGATCCAGGATGTTTTCACGTCTTGGATTTTAAATCTGCAATCGGTTTCTCCCTCCACACTATAGCTTTATTGAATAATATTTCCATACTTACATTGTGATATAACATAATTTCAATGTCTACTAATATGTATTTAATTAAATTTATCATCATTATTAAAAGGCAAGTACTTAAAATGATACAACAACATAGTTGTTTACAGAAACAATTAATTAAAAACAGAAATCATACTAATTTTTAACTTGAAATTTTATTTTTAGGTAATATATTTTAATTTATTTTTATGAAACATTGTTTAATGAACCAAATCTCTCGCAACTATAAATTCACAGGTCTATAAAATTTGCATATAAATTTTTTTTAATTAATTTTAATTTTTTTAAATAATTTTATACTTATTTAAGTTTCATGCAATTATTTCCTATTCCAGAGCTTTTTATAATTAGAGACCCTGGAGAAGCACAATGTATATATATATATATATANTATATATATATATATATATATATATATATATATATAATGCTACATGGTTTTGTCTGCTGGTGCTGGTACAAAGAGCAACTTGTTTTCTAAATAGTTACCTAGGAAACATTTGTTTATAAAATAGTTTTTTGTTCCCGAGTGTACTACATTCATATTTCAACCAAACCCCACGATTTACTTCTTTTAAAGAGTAAAGCTTGTATACGTGATCAAATCAATTTAGAAACTCATCGAACATTTAAACAAATACATCAGATGTTAATTTGTATTTAACAGTGCACATCCTCAAATTTTTTCCAAACACGCAATGTTGTCTGACAAAGTGCGAAATCCAAACATTGTGTTTGGTTGCGTGTCTTATAAGTGCATTAAACAATATTAAATTTTAAATGTATAAGATCATCAGCAACTATCTGTATCATTAATAAGTTATACGTAATGTTTTCTTGAACTTTAATATGTAAGCATATGGAAAACCTTAAAATTAAGCTAAGTGGAATATTTATTGCGCATTTTGTGACAGGGAGCCATTTTAGTTATTAAATATTTATATGATTATATATAAAAACACAGCTCCTGAGAATATAAATTGCTCAAAAAACGATGATTCTTTCATAAAATTTTTAGAATGTGGTATAATGTTCATAAGTACTGATTACTTATTTGTATTTAACTTTTTTAAAGGCATTGATTCGAAAACCGATAGATTTGTGAATTTTTTTCTTTTCCTTTTTTTTGTTGCAAATTACACACATATTGTTACAAACCAAGTAAAATATTTTTTTTTTATGGTAGTCACTTGCATTACGTGTTAACTACACATAAGTACACTTCTTATGTAAATTTGAAATGCTTGGAAATTCTAAAGTTGTTAAAAAGTTTTTAAGTATTTTAGAGCATGCGTAAGTATTAGTGTGTAATAAGTGCTTAATATTTAAAAAGGTACGTATAAAAAAATATTGATATAAAGAAATGCATATATATAAAATATTTTTCTGCAAAAACATGCATTTTTTAAATTAAGTAGAATATTTTTTTTGTTTCTTTTTGTGAAAATTATGCAAAATCGAAGATATTTCAGTTATTTTATGTAATGTTTCAGTTATTATTAAAAGCACATACCCCACGTAAGTTTGCAACGCTTAAAATAATCTGATATTGCTATAAAAGTTGAGATGTTTTCTTGTGGATGTTTTAAAATCTACGCAAGTAATGGATATTTAATTGCGTTTATAATTTTAAACGGCATTCGTAGAAAAAATAAAAAATGTATATAAGGCTGATTTTTTTCTTTTGCAATTCAAGCATTTTTCTAAACAAAGTAGAATGTTTATTGCGTATTTTTCTGACAGGAAATAAGAGAAAATTTTGTTTTTAATTAAAGGTAAAATATTTTATAAGCTATAGCGTAAGATATTTTATACATCATGCAAATTTGTTATGACTAAGAAAGTCTGATATTTTTAATTATGTTTTATAATGTACGTTAGTATTTATTGTTTTATTTCTGTTTTTTATTTTAAAAGTCAATTAATCAGGTATTTAAAAGTACCTTTATCAATACTCAAATTTTTGAGCAAAATTTCGCTTTTCTCAGGTTTTATTATGACACTGATTTCTTTTTTTTAAAAGATTTAATCCGTTTTTTATACGCTCACAATTTTATATTGCAGAATAAATCCTTTAGATATTAAATTTACTTTAAAAAGTAAAACTGACTTTTATCAACTTTGTAAAAATTTCTAGTAGCCTTACTTCTAAATATTTAAATACTGCAAAGATAAATAATTCTCTCAGGATCTATTTCAGAGAATTTTTTTTAAACGTTTTGTCGTTTGTTTCTTTATTTTCATTTAAAACTCAGTTTCAGATAATTAAGTCATTGGAATTTTAAATTTCATTTAAACAATAAAAATTTCCAGTTTTTTATTTTTAAATTACTTTTTGAAGAATTTAATAATAGTTGAAGATTTAAACTGAAATGAATTTTCAGAAATAAATAAATTAATTGAAAAAAAAATATGAAAAACAAATTTACCTATTTAAACAAGGGAATAGAAAGAGGTTATATGGAAATTAGTCAAGAAACATTGCTATGTAACATTTACTATATAGTATAACATTTTATTTATTATTATAGTAACATTTTATTTAATAGTCTATTAGATTCTACTGAATTTAATAAAATAATTTTTATTCCCCCGTTTAAAAATATTTATAGTTAAGTCATGAACGTTTATTTGAAGCAGAATGCGACTGTATTATATCTGAATAATTGCTCTGTAGCAAATATTATCCAAATGAAGATATGGTTTACTTAGTGCTATATATAGCATTGGAAGCTAAACAACGTGAATAAATCACAAATAGAGACGCAAAAGCAGGTAACTATAGTTTTGGTTCTATAAAAAAGAACCTTTCTCACTCTCGGAACATAGCTTGTGTTCTGTTCATAAAATGTTGTTGATGTTGTTTTTAATGACGCTTGGACAAGTCAAGCTCGCCAAACATTGGCATTTTATGAATTTAGTCAGGATGGAGGGCTTTTCGTTTGACTAGAGAGCACCGCAAGGGTGAATGTGCATCTTAGCTTAGAGTTTCAAGGATAAATAGCGGCACACTCACTTGTGAGGTCAAATACTCAATTTAGTAATGGAACTAAAGGGAAAAGAAATTTTCTCCTGATTCTTGTAATCATGATAGTGCACAGTGACCGACCCTAAGACGTTCGATTCAACAGATTTTAGGAACTTGTAGCATGTACTCGATATGTCTTGGCGCAATCGAGGATCGAACCCTGGACGCTCAGGAATTGTTTCCGATTATCTTACCACTTGGCTACTAAAATCTCCTCATTATTAATCATGTATCAATTCATACATATTTAGCATTTTCGCGCACGTTCCGACGCATTCATATATGAATGTTTTGCGCAGCACTGTAATTACAGGACAATCTACGTTTTAGTAAGGGCTTCGAAGAATATACGTAAGTGTGCAGTGCTACTTGAAAATGCTGACTTCCTGATGTAACTTACTTAGGAAAAAGGCAAGAGCGGCTGTGAGTGCAACTGTAACGAATATGAAGGTCAAGGCTGTACATTTCCAGCTGCACTGTCTCGTACTGGACTTTCTCAGCTGAAAATGGGAATGTGCGAATTGACTTGTAGAGAGAGGACGACGCAGCATACTCTGATTAGGTAACGTCGACGTCGGATACGTCACGTGATACCTACAAAACAAAACAAAAATTTTTAAAAACCAAATTCAATAAACTAGTTTCTTAAAACGAAATCTCCTCTAAACATGTTTTCTAATTTTTTTATTATTATTTTATTTTTATTGTTGGGCAGAATTCTTACAAAAAGATCTCTCAATCTTGGAGATTTCCTCCGGATTATGTATTTTAAATACATAAGGTGCTCTGTGATCACCCTATATATTGTTTTTCAGTACCCAACTTTCGTTTTTATTTCCATTACTGTCGATTTCAAATAGTTCAGCTTTGCAAAGTCATGATTTAAACGTATAACTATAAGCAAAATGAACACATAGTTTCAAATAAACCTATAATTAAGAAGTTGGTGATGTGAATTGCTTATGGTACCACGACCACGTTTACCACTCATATAACCAGGTATAACAAAGAAATTATAAGTAAGTACAACAGGAAAAGCAATAAACAGATGTTTTAATTAAGGACTGAAACTAGAAAACACCATTGATGTTATTTTTAAAATATTTGAAAAAACTGAATCGTTCATAGCTTATGCTTATTTCAAAACACTGGCTTCTACTAAAACAATGCGAAAATTCCATTTAAATGCCTCTGAATTTAAAATATAATTAAGAAAAATAAAAAAATCAGCCTTCTAAATTTGTTTGCAATTTTACTCATTCGGATTTATTTTCAATCTCGCATTCTTAGAGCATGTGGTACACTAGAAGTCCCGTATACACGCAGTCGGACGGACATAAACAGAAATTCTTTATTTTATTATATACATAGATTATTTATCGCCCTTTTCGATGGATTTACATTATTATATTAATCAAAACACATTTTTTTACAATTTCTCAAATTAAAATAAAGGTTAACTGTATTATTTAATATTTTCTGGCATAATACTGTCAAAAATGCTCGAGGCAATTCATGATATTTAATTATTCATGATGAATAATTGCATTTTCACCATAGATTTAGCTTTTTAGAACATAGCTTATTATTTAATTTCAATTTGTCACCATTTCTCCTTCCATTGAGGTGTACCAGGTTGAAATCGCAACGATGGCTGGTTGATACGAATCCGCATTCGGCTTGTACCGACCACAGTGCGGACGTGAAATATCTTCAGTGGTAGACAAGTAATGGGTTAGAGTCCCTTTACCGTCAGGTAAACTGTTTGAGGATCCCGTGGTCTTTCTCTCCATGTGACGCAAATGAGAGTTAGTTCCTTCAAAAAATCCTCCGTGAAGGCAAATTTCTCCCAATACGTGATCCAAGAGTTCCTCTGTCTTCTGGATTGAGTTCAAAATTGCAAGTGAAATACTAATTTAACAGTTAACAAATTTCGCGAAGAAGCAAAATCTTTAAAGTTGTGCTTATAGTTTGAATCGAATAAAATAATGGTCTAAAAAATTTGAGGTGACATATTAGTGCTACCATCTATGAGAAAAACTAGCGAAAAAAGTTTCATTCGGAAAAATAATTTAATAAAACCTATAGTACTAACAAAAATAATATTAATTTTATAACAATAATATGTATAAAAAACATTCAAAGTAGGTAAATGTTGTAATTTAAATAACAGATAAAAGTAAGAAAAAAATCGTTCACTGGCATCCCATCTATCATAGGGTGATTTACTTAAAAATCAGAGCCTGCACATATGGATAGAAAGCCGTCTATAGACTTTATCCTTCATTTATACATTCTTACATAATTTTAAAGTCTACGCATATTACCTGCATTCATCGGGGGTGACTGTTCATAAACCAGAGCCCATTCCATTTTTACAAAAAAAAGAGAAAAAAATATGTATATATGCCTAGACTCTACTGGGTAGGTATAATGAGGAATAATGGAAAGGCGAATAAAACGGAAAACTGTGGAATACGAAATTTCTAAAAAGCACATTTATGTTGTATTATACTTTCTAAGAAACATTAAACTTCTTAAGACTTTCTACAAAAATATATTTAAAAACGAAATTCCGGTAGAACAAGTTATCGTACGTAATGTGCCATAAATCTATTGTATAATGTGTCGTAATTATAATATAATGAAATATTTAATGAGTTCAAGATGATAACATGTTTAATTAGTTTTTAAACAGAATTATTTACTTTTATATTACATCACTTCCCTTGGCAGGATAATTTGATTCCAAAGAAATTTTAGTTTATTTAAAACAAAGACATATTTTGTGTAACAAAATAATAGAAAATGTATAAACTAAATATAAATCTGAAATTAAAAGAGACAAGAAAATAAATATTTTGCTTTTTGGCATAACTTTTATAACACGTCACCTTATGAAAGAAAACTGCAAACATAATAAATAGCAAATGGTATTGACTGAGTTTAAATAATGATTTATATTATTTGCTAAAAACACTATGCATTTATTAATCATTTTAAAAATAATTTATACATTTATTAATCATTTTAAAAATAATTTATGCATTTATTAATTAATGTTATTAATTAAATTTCACTGCTAAAACTCAAAAGAAAAGGTTCAAAGAGTTGCAGAAATTTTTCATTCGAAAAACGTAACTAAAGTTTATTATATTTTCAGTAATTCACGCATAAATATTAAATAAAATGTTCTTTTTTTAACTTAAGTAATTAGATTTTTATGATATCAGATTACAATATCTTAACTGTAGGATTTCAAAATACTTATTACACAATAATTCTTATTATTTTACAATAATTGGACTACGCAATAATTCTGATAATTTTTTTAAAAATTTTTACATTTTATGTAAAGACTTAAAAATTGCATATTATATCAAAGACTTATAAATAATTCTTTGATATATTAATTACATCATCTATAAATAAATAGAAATTAATTCAGATTACGGTATAATTAAAACATAAGTAATTTACTTTTATAAAACACGGCTTTGTGAACAAAATTTAATCAAATTAAATAAATCATGGGCAATATTTTATAGTTAATTAATATAGTAATTAATTAATATTGTTTAATTAGAAAAGATTTATCTATTCATCATTAACACTTATGAAAGAAAGACAATCTTGTTAATTTGTTCATGAAGAGACGTGAATATTATTTATCAGCAATAATTTGTGTAAATAAATTTAAAAAATGTTAATTACCTGTCAGCGTTATGGTTGATATGATCTTCTTCGCAGTGAGGATATCCAATGTTAGAATGATGATCTAAAATATAAATTAAAGAATTCGTAAAAACACGAATTATGTAGCTTATAATTAAAAAAAAAGAATTTACTCTGCAATGCATTAAAAATGTATTCATAAATATAAATGGAAAAATTTAGATATTAAAATAAATACATTTGCATATGAATCAAGAAAGTTGTCATTCAAGTAGTAAATGATAATTGAATAAAAATCTCTAATGGTTTCAATTGTATAGTGTTTTCGATTTCCAGCGTTGCTTAAATCAGAAGAGTTTATCGTTCAAATTTGCATTTACTTTTGAAAAAAGTTGTTTTCTTTTAATTCGCTGATTTGAATTCAATTTTATATGAATGAGATTGAATTGAGAGTTAAGGCCGATAAGTATATGTTTTCTCAGGAATCAATGGAAACTCTCCCCGGGAACTTAATTTAAATATGAATCGAAAATAATATAATTCAAAAAATTAAAACTGAAAATTTTGATGATAAAAACCTTAGTCTGTTACATATGTTATAAAAGATTTCCATCTAAATTATTATTATTATTAATTCCATCTAAATTATTTGTCCAACCCACATAGTCTTATTAGCTGTAATATANTTTTGTAAAATTTTTTTGAGTGCTTCTCAAACTATTGCATTGATATATTTTACTTTGGCTATATTGATACAATAATAGAAAGTGCTATTTTTTTGCTGATATAATCGTGTAAGCTGATGAAAAGATTATATCTTTTATTTTCCGGATATTTTTAGAAATTTTTTTTCCTTTTTTCGGAATTTTTTTTCCGGTTTCTTGCAGTTTTATTTTTTATTATTATTTTCCCCCCCTTTTTATTGTTCTGTAATTTTTCCCAAGTTTTTTCTACATTTTGAACTTATTTTATGAGTTCTATTTACTTGCAGCTTATGCGCAATAAATAAAACTTATTATTTTTCGTAATTTTCTTCGTGTTTTTTTTTTGTTTTTATTTATTATGATATATATATATATATATATAACCAAAAATGTCATTACTATAGAGTACAGTAATTTTAACAGAATATTTTTTCTTTGTACGGTTAATAAAGTAATTTATTTCGTTTCATTTCAGTTTATAATTTAATGATGTTACAAATAACATATTACTGAACTTAAATATATTAACTTTTCCTTTTTATCAGAAACTAAGCTCAATATTTTGATTATTTATTTAATACTTTTTTTGGAAAAAATCTATTTTGCCTGAATTATGTTGTTTTTTTTCTTCAGTTTTTTTTTCTCCGTGTATATTTACCACTTTATAGTTTAGAAGTGACGGCGATTTATAAATCAGGAGTAAATTTTTATTGCTAATAGTACTTTACATACATAGAAGCATGAAGTCGACGAAATTGTTACTGAACATCTGAATATGAAATTTTAAAAAAAAATGTTAAGGATAAATAGATTACAGAAATTTCCTAACAGAAAATATTAATTGTAAAATTTACAGCCCGTGATTCCTATGTAAAATGCTCCTTATTTATTATTTCGACTTATTATCTTGATATTTAATGCTTTAATGTGGATGGTCGTAAGCTTTATGAACTATGCATAAACAATAATATATTGTCTTATCATATATTTTCCTAAGTATATTCTACAGTTATATTGTTGTTTATAAACTATTTTAAAGGAATAAAATATTATTGTTGCATTTTTAATGTTTATGAATCATTTAAGATGTGTCGAAAACTGTACAAACAATTCATTAACTGTAATATGTAGTATGTTAAAATTTTCAACTGACTTCATAATTTTAAATAGTAACGGTTTCTTCAAATATTAGGTGAATGATGGAATTTTGAATTTAAAATAACACTAATTAGCTTATTTTAAAATATTAAAAATTTCTTTTAAAATAAAACGTCATAATTAAAATTTTATAAATGTTGATGAAGTAGAATAAATTGTTATATGCGTACACTTTGAAACTAGAAATGTTATATGTGTATAATGTTATAATGTGTATATTTTGTTTCAGCAATAGTTATACTACCGGAGGGGAATCTAGAACTATCTGAACATATCTGTCATATGCATATTGAAATTTCTCTTTTATATAAGGTACACAAATAATGATCTTGAGCCCAAATCCTTAAAAATACCTTATAATTTTAAATAAAATGACACTAATACTAATGACACTCTAATACTAATACTTTTGCTAATTTATGTTTCTAAATCTCGTCATTTTATACATGCATATCACTGCTCAAAAGATGCCCGATTTAACAAGTTTAATCATAAACTATACTATCTCTATTTGAGCACAGATTATTTAGAAATTGAAACAGCTTTGTAGTACATTATTGTTTGTTCTAAATAACAGCGTGCACACATAGTCAATACGCGCAACTCTAATCACACAATTCATTTATTCCATTTCTTCTAACGTCTCCCTAATTCTCCCAATTATGTTTTGTTCATAAAATAATGAATGAATTAGTACGCAATAATTAGTAGCATAACGGCACCATGATAACTCATTAAAATAAATCACAAACAGTACGTAAACTATTTCTATCTTAGGAATGAAATAAAAGCAACACACCCCTTCATCTAGCATAATAGCAACACCAGCTGGCTAGCTTCGGTTTTGGACTTTACTATGATGAAGTGGATGCCACCGAAAATGTTCTAAATTCAAGACAATAACCAGTTAATTGGCGTGTTTTAAAATCCTCCTCTCTTCATCCGGTCCTTCCGAAGAAAAGTAAAAGGAGATCCTGATGTGCCAGGAAATTAACAGAAAACTATCAGCAAGGTTAAAACAAAAGTCCCTCTACTCAGGGTACACACAATAAGCTTGCCAAGGTTGCTTTAAGTGGGTCATTTAAAGTAAAGAATTTGGTGATAAATCTTCTCGGAAATTAACCCCAGGACGTGTTTAGAGGCCATCAGATTTAATTTTGGGAGTGTGGGCGCGCCCCATTTATCAGAAGGGGCGTCTCGAGGGCTTGATTACAGTTTACGGGGCACAACATTCTCGGAATGATTTGTGCTAAGACTCTGAAATGTTCGAGTCTTTTATCTCCCCTGAGATCGTTAGAAAGAGATTCTAAAGAAAATCAGACACCGAAAGAGAAAAAAGGAATGCATCTTTTTCATTAAATAGATAATAGTAGGCTGTTGATCGAATGGGGATAGTTATTTTGGGAGATAATATATGTTCCTTCTTTTCCTGTTTTTCATATTTAGGAGTGATGGATCGTTAATAATAGTGGATATGAAAACAGCTTTAACTAAGAAAGAAACTTTAATGTAACCAAGTTGGAGAACCTGTATTTGAAGTTGAAATCATTAAAAAAATACATGGCATTTTCCTTTAATTTATTCGTAAAATTTTTTTTAAATGTACATTTATGTTTTTTTTTATTGAAAATGTTGTTGTAATTACTTTTAAAAGGAAGTTGTGGAGACGGAAAATTCGCGTAGTTTAGTATCCCTGGTAGAGTCAAGATTCTTCTTCCCACAATAAAGGACTACTAGTCAAATTTTCATTTTATGACGTTAAGCTAGCTGTTAACCAAGCTAAGTTAACTGTTAATCAAGCTTAAAATAAAAACTTATAAGGTTTTGAACCGGATAGATGAATAAATGGAAAAACATAGAAGCAATTGATCCCCTTTGCTTGCTTCCGAGATCACCTTACAAATGCGGCCTGTTATAAGGCAAACTTTCAGACTAAAAAAAGTTAAGAGGCTTCACATCATTCGCATTGTGTATTCGAATACACTTTCCCCTTCCCTTTAAGTTTGATTTTACTTTCGATTTGAATGTATGTTTAAATTTCGCAGTTATTCTTCGCGCGAGTTATAATGCTGAACATTACGGTAAGGGTTATTTCTGTAAGTCATCACAGAGCATTTCTAGTATATTCGAAAGGTAAATAAACTTCAAATTTTTCAGGCAAATTTTAGTAATTTGTTTTTAAGAACATTCAAGGATCTGAATAATAAATTAATTGAACTCCAATCATTAAGCGACGTTATTATTTTGAGTTCAGGTAAAACAAAATTTATGCATTATTTTTCTCAGTTGGCAATACAAAGATGCTTGTAACTGACTCAAATTTGCGAATTATTTAGAACGAAAGAAATTTTTTTAATGTTATTGAGAGGAAATTATATAAGAAAAAATGAATGGAAAATAATTGTAGCATTTATGTTGAAATACATTTTTGATTCTTTACTGAAAGATTTCGTTTTGCCGACACTCTATGTATATTAATAGTAATTGTTCAATTGAATACATAACTTCAAACTGAAATGGTTAAATTTTTGCATTTACATTATGGACTTTTTTACCAATATATCATGAATTTTTCCTAAAAAAAGTATTTTTCCTGTTATATAGTAACGATTAATCTGAAATTCTGCATTTAAAAATTATAGTCCTTATTACCGTTAATTATTAAAAAATACAAAACTGAAGAATAAATATAACCGAATATGTGAGATTTATGCTATGCTTTAAGGTATTATGATAAAATTAAAAATTCTATCACTTATAATAAAACAATATTTTACTGTTACATTTTCAAAAATCATTACCAGAGCGCTTCCGTAAAATTACCCAGCTTTTTGGAGTTCCCATAGAACCAGAAATGCAGTAAATTTCACCATAATATGGTAGTTTTGACCATACATTTTTCTCAGGGTAAAAATAATAATTATATTTGATTTTTAATTGAAAAAAACACCTTAAATATACAGACAATCATTTCACTTACACCAGTCACATTTCAGTTGCATTTTGTGATCTATAAAAGGATACATAAAAAGAGTGCCACTAATCACAAGAGTCAATTCCCCTGGAGGGACATTAAATACTTTTTTTTTCTTTCTAGGGTCAAATCACATCGAGAAACAACAATGGCGGGGATCTCTCTTTGGAAAACAGAAGCCCATTAACAGTCCTTCAAGAGAACAAAGTACCTCATCTATTTTACTTTGAAAAATACAATGAATAAAAAAACATGGTTGGAAGTATC